GACGCTGACTACTGATTATATAATGGACTCTTGACGCGCGTCTTGACGAAGGAACGCTGTTTTTTACACGAGTGGGGGCATCAGTGTCGGTATCTTGAAACGTAGATGAATTCCTTTGAAAAACTGAACATGACAAGAATTTAAATGTTTAACGACAGGGTAGTAGTATTGATAGTATTAGTAGTAACAGCAACAACAATATAAGTAGGAACAGTAGTAGTTGCAACAATAGTAGTTGTAGTAATTGTAGTAGCAACATGTTTAGTAGTAGTCGCAGCAGCAGTAATAGTAACAGCAGCAGTAATAGCACAAGCAGCATTAGTAGTAGTAGCAGTAGTAGTAGTAGTAACAATAGTAGAAGTAGTGGTTGTGGTGGTAGGAGTAGTACTTATAGTAGTACCAATAGCAGTAGTGGTGGTAGTAGTACTAATAGCAGTAGTAGTAGTAGTGGTAGTAGTAGCAATAGCAGCAGTAATAGTAGTATTAGTAGTAGTAGCAGTATTAGTAGTTGTAGTGTAAGTAGTAGCAGCGGCTGTTGTAGCTGTAGTTGTAGTAGTAGCAGTTGTAGTGGTAGTAGTAGCAGCGGCTGTATTAGTAGTTGTGGTGGTGGTAGTAGTAGTACTAATAGTAGTAGAAGCAGTAGAAGTAGTAGTAGAACTAGTAGCAGTAGTTGTAGATGTAGCAGTGGTTGGAGTGGTAGTAGTACCAGTTGTAGCTGTAGTTGTAGTAGTAGCAGTTGTAGAGGTAGTAGTAGCAGTTGTAGTTGTAGTGGTAGCAGTAGCTGTAGTTGTAGCAGTAGTTGTAGTGGTATTAGTAGCAGTAGTAGTGGTAGTTGTAGTAGTAGTAGTTGTAGCTGTAGTTGTAGTTGTAGTTGTAGTGGTAGCAGTAGTAGTAGTAGTAGTAGTTGTAGTGGTAGTTGTAGTGGTAGCAGTAGTAGTAGTTGTAGCTGTAGTTGTAGTGGTAGCAGTAGCTGTAGCTGTAGCCGTAGTTGTAGTGGTAGTAGTATCAGTTGTAGTTGTAGTTGTAGTAGTAGTAGTTGTAGTTGTAGTTGTAGTGGTAGCAGTAGTAGTAGTAGTAGTTGTAGCTGTAAGTGTAGATGTAGTTGTAGTTGTAGTAGTAGTAGCAGTTGTAGTGGTAGTTGTAGTTGTAGTAGTAGTTGTAGCTGTAAGTGTAGTTGTAGTGGTAGTGGTAGTTGTAGTTGTAGTTGTAGTAGTAGTAGTTGTAGTTGTAGTGGTAGCAGTAGTAGTAGTAGTAGTTGTAGCTGTAAGTGTAGATGTAGTTGTAGTTGTAGTAGTAGTAGCAGTTGTAGTGGTAGTTGTAGTTGTAGTAGTAGTTGTAGCTGTAAGTGTAGTTGTAGTTGTAGTGGTAGTTGTAGTTGTAGTTGTAGTAGTAGTAGTAGTAGTTGTAGTAGTAGTAGTAGTTGTAGTTGTAGTTGTAGTTGTAGTAACGGGCAGGTGATACCACACAAGACAGACAGACAACAGGCGAGTTGTGGCAGGTACACCTACAGTGTGTTACACCCTGCTGCAGCACCTCCAGATGTAATTCCAGACCCCAGGAGGAGATGATGTGTCTAAACACATACAGCCTACACACAATTGCCCGTGCACAATAAAAGCCATTAGTCTCGGATGCACAAAGACAATTCCATCACAAGTTCACGTACACCTGTAAAACTTGTCAGTGATAACCGGTAAACCTACCCACGTGGGTGCCGTATGACCTGGGGTATGGGGTGGGGGGTGGGGGGTGGGGGGACTATAGGTGCAGTCGGGCCCATCATGCTGAGTCTCGTGGTTTCTTTGTGGAGGTCCCTACTACCCACGCTCCAGTGACCAGACTACCGTTATATGGCTGGGGTAGGCGAGGGGTTAATATTAACCCTATGTCGACGTACTACACATACTATGTAAGTCTTCGCCTCCTGGAACACACTCCTATTTATGCCAAATTTGCGGGGCGAGAGATGGAATGGGAATATTCACTGCCTGACTGACAAATGTTTGTTTGTTTGTTGTTTAACGCCGCACTCAGCAATATTCCAGCTATATGACGGCGGTCTGTAAATATTCGAGTCTGGGCCAGACAATCCAGTGATTGACAATATGAGCATCGATCCGCGCAATTTAGTTGCGATGACATGCATCAACAAAGACAGTGAGCCTGACCACCCGATCCCGTTAGACGCCTCTTGTAAGCATTGTCGCCTTTACGGCAAGAATGGGTTGCTGAAGACCTATTCTACCCCGGATCTACACGGGTGGGATGGAAGATGGATGAACGGTGGCAGGGAGTACGGTGAATCCAAGTGGTCGACTTTACAAGCGACATCCCACTACATCTAGGGAAGGTGGCCAAGCCAGACCACCAAGTTTTCATTCGACTCTTATGACAAGCTAATGTTGCGGGACATCGTTCCACAAAGCGATCTTTGCCTCAGACGATCGTAACTCCCATACTTTAACACAGTCATAGCGCTACAATCACGTCGGGTAACCGGGCCCTGAGAACAAACTATAACTGGAGTCAGCACGGGGTCTGTCAGAAGTAGAAAGACAGGGATAGATAGACGATAGGAGGGAGGGGGAGTATCTGAGAACCCATCAATGAATTATCTTATCATTTTCATAAGGCAACGTTAACCTGCCTGTGAAAGTTCATCTTCCCGAGGCAAGGGAGTTAACTGACTATAAAAGTCCAGTTTCCACCCTTGCCGAACTAGGCTGGTATTATGGAATTACATTTTGGCTGGACTAACGAGTCTATGCATAGTCCAATCAAAATCGCACACCGGAATCGAAATCCGGTTCGTAAACTTTCGTGCAGATTTCGGTCGATTGCAGGATTTGCAAAGCATGTGCACCGCCAACTCGTTGTCAGCAGATATTTTCCAAATCTTTTCATGTTTTTAATATAGGTGCTCGCGTGATTTGATGCATTTCGCGATGTTAAACCCGTTTTATCACAATATAGATCTTGATTATCGATCAGACCGTCTTGACCGGGCGCCACCATTTTGTGGGAAGCAAACGCAAGTACTAGTGATACGAGAGATGGAATCTGATTGGCCCATAGGAGAGGCTTAGAAGAGAGATAACTGGTAATAGCCACTGGTGGCGCTACGATCGAGCCCAGTAATTCCAGCCTAGTTCGGCAAGGTTGGAAACTGGACTTTTATAGTCAGTTAACTCTCTTGCCTCGGGAAGATGGTGATAGTTGGAAACCCGTGAAGTCACACAACAAATTTGTAGAGTAAATACTGTTTTATGCCACAGAACTGTCACTGTTAAACACCCATCCCTTAAATACTCATCATGAACACGCAATCCAGTGGTTGAAAGCATGAGCAAATATCCACGCCGTCGGTGACACCCAATCCACTTTGTATCACGTTACAACCACCCAATACTCAACACCCAGCTCTCGCAGCACGTATGAGGCACTGGGGTGACCTCTGTCGGCCGCGGAATACCAAACGGATCTCTGTCGAAAGAAATTAGGTCCAGTAGAGATGGTTCATGTCAATGTGTTGTTATGAACCAACCACGCCTCTATAGATAAATATACAAACTGCACACATTGATATAAAAGGCAGTATACATATGTGACGCCACAACATTTAATCCAAATGTTGACAAACCAGTCAATGCCATAATCTGATTAAAGATCCACCATTGTCATGTCTTTTTTCAAAAATTTGAAAGCCAAATCCCTGGGGCGTGTACTAAAATAGATTACTTGATATTAAACACACATATTAGTTAATCACTGTCTACCTCTAAAGTGTTAATACTCTTCAGGCTCAATCCATACCCGCTAACCGGCAAAGCACGCTGAGGAAATAAAGCCTACGTGGGCAGGTGCCTCGTGAAATACGACACCCGTTCCCCACTGTCAGTGCCTCGAGTGTTACCCTTCCCGGGCCAGCTGATGTATGCATGGACAACGCTGATATATACATGCACTACACTGATATATGCATGTGCATGAAATGCTAAGGAATTAGAACATCAGTTTGGATTATTATGCAAAATCGAGATTCACCCTAAACAGGGTGACGCCAATTGGCCATTTGTAAAATGTTACGGTTGTGTTTTAACGTTGTACTAAAACCAGTGCTAAAAGAATATGTCGGAATGAAAATGCAGATTTAATCAAGTGCTCTCTGTTATGTTTGAATACCGACGAGTCTAGGTAAGTTATAGAGAAATATATCACTCGTGCATAAATACTTATGTTAAATCTCTGATAGAAACATATTCTCGGTGTGAAAAATGCTTATTACAATTAACTACCAGTTCTGATTGCGTGTGTTGGTCAAGTCGGCTTGAAATGCATTTGGGGTCAATAAGTTAGCCGAGGTTAAAGACAGACAAGCAGACAGGTGGACTTGGTTTATTGGTTAACGCGTTCGCTTGGCATAGCGTACCTGGTTCGATTCCCACCGGGTACGATGAAACCTCACTGTATGAGCGAACTGTTAGTTTATGTTAACAACTGAAATGCGTGTCAGTAATTGCAATTGTTTGCCATACACATGCGCAGTTCGCTGTATGAGTTTGTATCTAAGAGTTCAGAGCCCTGTGAACCCAACTCACTCACTCGTAATATCAGAGAATGAGTTTATTTTTAAAACCTAATGACAAGTCAGCCTTGCCTGAACGAAAACAATTGCTCATTGTATCGATATGTTGTCCCGAAAATAGTATAAAAAATCATATTGTTTAAATTTCATTGAACATAAAATTAAACCATCACAATAATTAACGTTTAGTTTGAATGAATGAAACACACATATGATAAGATATAAAATTAATACATAATATTCATAGTATAAACAGAATTCAAATTCAAATCGATCCCCAACTCACGTTAAACACCAAAGTGCATTTCAGTCAACGTATTCATTTCACAACCTGCTTATCAATTTACATGAAAACCTCCACGCTATTAATACAACTATACAGACGCAGTCATTCGTGCACATGATAAGTATTTGTTGTTCATTTCAATCGTTCAAATGTCTGTTTCACCCTTTATACAATCAACATCGATTTTGTCGACACGCGTAAAACTCGACCCCGCCACCCTAATGCAATCAGGTTGGTTTGAGCGCTTGTCCCGAGTCGTGTTGGGACAGGCTTCATCTAGGGTATATAAGGAACTAGCGTTACTAAGCGATCACACTCACAATACCTTCTTGGAGGGCTCTTCGAGAGTGCTGAAGACGCAGGTGTACGCACCCCTCCCCTTATGGGGTTAGGGCATCGTACGCGCTGGACCAGGTAAGCCATCTTCGTTTGACAGCTGAGGCCCTATGGGGCTTGTTTAAGGGTCCGCGGTGAGAGGGTTAACTTGCGTGTGTAGCCAGTGATAGGGACATTTAAAACGCGTGTACCTGATATTTGGTTGAGGCAACTGTGAACCATAAAATATATGTTTTTCGTTTTCTGGAATGATTAAAAATATAAGCTTTTTGTACCTGATAGCTGGGCTTTATTAATTCCAAACATTAATCGGTTTAAATTTAAGTTAATTACACTACCATGAAAGCACAGTTTCCATTTATGATAACAAAAATTAAAAGCTTGAGGAACCAACGCTACCCAAATTAAATCTTTATCAACCATTACGAAATATTTTTTGGATGATATAAACTCAACATGTTTGTTTCCCAATGTTCTATTTTGTTTAAAATGTATGCAAAACAATAACTGCACGTGGAAAGGATCACTTTTTCTTCAGCCATGTCAAGTTGAATCCACTATTAAGTGATTCAGCCATGTGCGAGTTGTCATATCGTCCATTTGATTCAATCGTTCAACCTGTACGGTCGACACGCCTTCTGCGTTTTCGGTTCGGAGAGAGGTTAGCTCATAGAGAATCGCACATTAATTACAACGATGTTATATGACGTTTGAACAACCTTTTGAAATATTTTAAGTGATTTCAATAACGCTCAACTTCTAGAAAAATACACTTAACAATGTTGTTCGTTTTATTGTGAAAGATGAACCCTGATTTTATCAATAGTTATATGTCATGAATCCATTTTTTAACCTTTCTGAATTTACGATCCCAATTTATTAATCAGTTAACAAAATATTCACGATAAAAAGTAAAATTCTTCTTTCAAAAGTCAACCAATTACGTCAGTTAAGTTATACTGAATGTTCCTCGCCGTGAACACGTTCGCTGTATGTTCTAATTAAATATCCACCGAAGTCCTTAAGATCGCTATTTGAAAACAACGCCATTCTCAGTATCTACCATACGTGATGTTGTCGTGTTAACCAGGCCATATACGTGACGTCGTTCAATGCGACACTTCATCACATCAATATAGCTTCTGTTCTGGTAGTCAAAGCGGGTTGACGATATTCCACCCTCAAACACCTCTGTTAATTAACTCATAATACGTTATATCTATTTGTTCAAAAGTCGTAAACAGAATACCCTCACATGAAGCGAGATATATTCACGGAACAAGGCTTACCCCGGCCTTTGAAGGCGCGAGGCTTTGCCTGTGAACACTGTGTAGCCCTATAGCATGTAGTCATAACTTTACCCACGTTCCGTCCAGCTTGTACAATATATAAGACTCGTTAATCTCTCGGACAGCTATGTGTGTTTAGTTTTAGTCGTTGCTAAGCAACCAGACCTGTCGCGCTGCAATGGCGAGATTGTCTCCCTTGAATACTTGTATGCAGTTCTGAGACGACAATAGTTGGAGGTAGAAATGGTCGTGTTTTACTTTCCTCTCCTGCGTTCCTTAGCAACCATCGACGTGTTGGACTTTAGTTTCTTTGACACAAATAGCTTTGTTTCGTTTCCCAAGGTAATAACATGTCTGAATGTGGGGTCGATATGAAAGTTTATTGTATTCGGAGAAAATGTTGACTTAGCGTTTAGTTAGACCCGTCGATGCGTTACATGGTGCTAGAAGCTTCAATACAAAGATCGGAACACAAATAAAACGTGATATTTCTTACCTGTCATCACTCGACTCATTAGAAATCAATCATCGCATGAAATCATAGCATATCACAGTTGAACACCGCTGCACAACACACAAAGATGTGATGGTCAAACTAATGACTCCCCAACGTTGAGATCGATAATCCAAAAAATAAGACGTTTACTTCCGTTGAGAAAAATAAGTACATATCGCACCGGTAGCTTCATTCATTTCATGAGTGGCACAGCACCTTGATATAAACTGAATGAACCTTCATTTTAACATCGTTAAGATACGAAAATAAAGGTCATAAAAAGAGTATTGATTTGATCTCCGGGTCAAATAAAAAAATGAAAAGCAGTTTCCCTTAGTATCCTGATTGAACCCGTACCCTATCGCCGCATATATATCCTTGTTAAACGAACGTATTTTCTAATATATCAATCTCACAGGAGTATTTACCCCTTTTCAAAAGCCTCTTAATGTTAATAAATTTTGAACGCTATAGTGGCTTTCTCCGAGGTTTGCCAAGCAATCATATTTGAACAGTGGAGGGCACTTGGCCCGGTTGTGTACGGAGAATATATAGCGGGCTACCTGAATTGAGGCTACGTGTCGGTGATATATAGCTATAGTATGTCTATATCGGAACTACATAGCATTTCTGTGACCAATCGTCCCAATAGAGCCATTGTTTGGTTTGTCGGTAGGTTTTAACTTATCTATTATGCGCGGAATTGAAACGAGTTTGTGCTTGAGGACGATATTGGGAAGGTCAAAAGTGAAGGTCGCGGAGGTCCCGGAGGTCATAGTTCCAGTTTCCGATCGTGTGAAATTCATGACCCCAAAATATGAAAAAAAATAAACATAGGATTGAGTTGAATGTGTTTTTACCCTACAGTCTACACTATTCCGGGTGTCTCGGCAACTTGTATATAACCCGATCTGGGTCAGACAAACATGTGGTCGACCGCATGAGCAACTATTTACGTTGTCGGGGTATGACGTCACACAGCCAGGTCAAACATCGTGAAGTTCGGCGTATGTCGGCGCTTGCGACCAGTAGGGGCAATGGTAGCTGTTCATTAGAAGTAGTACTTCGACATATCAGGTGTAATGGTTTGACAGTGTTTATGTCGACTTTTCTGAATACAAACACGGGACTTGGTGGACGCAATGTTTGAAGTGACTGTGTCATCACTCGCGGACTATGGGATCTTTTGCTCATGCTATAAACCACTCGTTTGTTTTGTTCACAGTCGGGCGTCATGACGTCGGGTAAGATATCGTCGACCACAGTGTGAATAAAAGCGACAATACAATTCTATAATCACAAAGAACTCCATAAAATGAGTCTATTGTACATTCCGAATACAGTATACTACGTTTATAACGAACACGCTTACAACGAACTGACCGATATAACGAACTTATTTTTTAGTCCCGGCCATTTGTTGCATATATGCTGTATATATGCTTATAACGAACTACGGTTATTACGAACTAAAATGAGTGGTCCCTTTGAGTTCGTAATAACCGTAGTTTACGGAATATGATTTGTTGATTTTGAAAGCGTCCAGAGAACCGACCGTTGAATATTTCGAAGTTGATTCTTATAAGGTATTAAACAAGCCACGGCTATTACCAAATTAGAATGTTAACGATGGCGACGGGAGTCTCTGTGTTTTGGGTATACCAGACAACTTGTCGCGTTTGAAGTGAAGCATACCATATACCGTCCCCGTGACAGCGAAACAAGCATTGACTTTTCCATACTTACATACATCTAGCTTACATTCACCTTGCAAACAGTAAACACGGTATCCCAGTCAAGGAGGTGTGGGGTGGAACATGAATCAGGGCCGCACGAACTGCCTATTAAAACCAGTTTACATGACACGAGAGTAGGCGGCAGCACGAGAGAGGATTCTTGTGTATATCAAAGTATACACATCTGTGACAGGTTGTCAATTTTTTGGCGAAAGCGTGTCGCGGCATTGAGCCCTTTTCTCCCCACTCGGTGCCCGTCCAGCACGACCCTTTCGTGCGGAATAATTGAGTGTGAGAGTTTATTGTCAATTTATTACTAACAGTTAGCGATTGTTCTTTGAAACCGATATATTTCACTTGACATTCCCATATATGGGTTTAGGCTCAAAACGCGGCAGTGAGTGATTATGTCTAGTATACTACTCGTAAAAAGTTACGGAACACCCGTTTCTCTCAAATTACCATTGTTAATCTGTCATGGCATGACAGATTAATTATGGTAATTTGACAGATTAACTGTGGTAATTTGAAAGAATTGGGTGTTCCTTAACTTGTTTGAGTATACTTGACATAATCACGTACTGCCGCTTTGTGAGCTAAAACGCAATTTAACACAAAATAGATATTTCGTCCATGAACACGATTAAACACATAACAAACTTTCCCATATTTCGGACCCTACAAGGGTAAGTCTTACACTGACTGACTCACAACCTTCAGAGCACCCCTCGCGTCGTCGCCCCTTAAATCCCCCCACCCCAGCGACCCTTTAAGAGCAGCGCTAGACACCTACCCGCCCGAAACCCTGGATATGCTAGCGGGGTTTACATGGCTGGGTGATCTGGTCGTCGGGTACAATGATGCTAGGCGGGTATATATTTCTCAGTTATTTATATTCCGGGTAGCGCCGGTAGCATAACGGTAGACAATTGTTATAGTATTTCGGCGACTTCGCGATTGAAGGGCGTGATTACTCGCCCTCCGCACGAGAGATGAGGGTTATAAAGGGATGCAACCAGCTGGTGTGGTAGTCAGGTCCGTGGTTGGCATAAGAACGGCCGGTCTTCGCGGGGAGTTTGTGTTTGTGAGTAAGGTACGATATCCGTGTTACTAGTTTAGGTGGTATACTTTGTTGTGAAGCTAAATTGTACGTTGCACCAATTCGGAGGGGTCACACGCTTCGCTTACTTCACTGGTGTTTTGTTTCAGGATATCTTATCAAGTTGTATATCATTTGTATGTACAGTTGTATATCATTTGTATGTCCAGTTGCATATCATTTGTATGTCCAGTTGTATATCAAGTTGCATTGTAATGATATATCGCAGCCGTGCGGTCACTGAGATTATGGCGATTGTATTTATTGTAAGGGACAACATTAAAATTTTCTGCTTAGTTGGGGCTAGCGTGTAACACATACTGGCCCCAAACGAGCATTTGTATCACGTCATGCGGCGTGTCATCTTAAATGCTAAAACGGTATTACCGGTTGCGGCGTTGGCCACCAAAAACAACCTTAGTTAATGAATTGTTTTGAGTGGCGGGTGCTACCTGTATAGCAGGGTGAGTGAGTTAATGTTTAACGTCACATCGGCAGTATTTCAGCCATATCGTGACGGCCGGTACAGCAGGGTGAGTGAGTTAATGTTTAACGTCACATCGGCAGTATTTCAGCCATATCGTGACGGCCGGTACAGCAGGGTGAGTGAGTTAATGTTTAACGTCACATCGGCAGTATTTCAGCCATATCGTGACGGCCGGTACAGCAGGGTGAGTGAGTTAATGTTTAACGTCACATCGGCAGTATTTCAGCCATATCATGACGGCCGGTACAGCAGGGTGAGTGAGTTAATGTTTAACGTCACATCGGCAGTATTTCAGCCATATCGTGACGGCAGGTACAGCAGGGTGAGTGAGTTAATGTTTAACGTCACATCGGCAGTATTTCGGCCATATCGTGACGGCCGGTACAGCAGGACGCACTTACCCTTTTCACGAACACCTGGTGTCATCACTAATTTTCAGTGATCCATTCATATAATTAATTCTCATGTGCCGTTTTGAATTTACAATTATTCACTACTTACGGCTGGGACTATTGAGGTGAGGATGGGGTTGGTGTTCAGAGTTGGGGTTGAGGTTCTGAGCTGAGGTTGTGGTTTATAGCTGTAGTTCGGATGTAGCATGGGGTTGAGGTTCTGAGTTGAGGTTGTGGTTTATAGCTGTAGTTGGGATGTAGGATGGGGTTGGTATTCAGGGTGGGGTTGAGGTTCAAGGCTGAGGTTGTGGTTTATGGCTGTAGTTGAGGTGTAGGATGGGGTTGGTATTCAGGGTGGGGTTGAGGTTCAAGGCTGAGGGTGATGTTTACAGCTGCGGTTGTGGTTCAGCGCTGGCAATGAGGTTCAGGTCTGGGGTTGGGGTATAGAGTTGGGGTTTAAGTACAGAGTTGAGGGTGAGGTTTGGCATGGACAGCATTCACATTGCATGAGCTCTGTGCAATAATATCTTTAATTGTTCACATCTGTCAGAGATACTGGTGATCCTTTGTTTGTTTGTTTGTTTGTTTGTTGTTTAACGCCGCACTCAGCAACATTCCAGCTATATAACGGCAGTCTATAAACAATCAAGTCTGGACCAGACAATCCAGTGATTGACATCATGAGCATCGATCTACGCAATTGGGATATGATGACATGTCCAACAGAGGTTTAAGTTTCGGTAATGAAAAGATGGCGTGCATTTTCATCGTTTTGTTTTTTTTGTTCTGAATATGCTAAACTTCACCCTTTATGTTTCAGACTCGAGGGAGAGTCCACATCCAAGATGGCGGTGGGTGTCACGTGACCATGTAGGTCACCCCCAAACGTCCATCATGCTACACAACTGCCAAACATCAACGACGATCACGTACATGGTAACGTCCTACTCACGTCATAGCTGAATGTCTCAACGTCTCCTTGTTGCTATGGCAACGGCGACACCTCCATCGTATCAATGAAGTCCACACGTCATCGACTCCTGTCTCTCGAAGTCAAAGGTCAGAAGGTCATCACCAAACCTCAACCCGTTCCTGCGATTCGATGTCACTCCATCAATTTGAAGTCAGAGGTCAAGGTCCACCAAATGACCTTGACATATTCCTGCTCTCCGATGTCAAGTTATGTTTCAGAACTGTAAAGATGCGTTTTGTGAATGTTAACGATGTCCACGCTTCAATGGTCACGGCAGAGCTCAAGGTCATCGTTGAAGTTGAAGGTCACGAGTCTCATACAAAATGGTCACACCTGCAAAGATAGAAACTCGTGGTGAAAGCGAAACCATCACATCCACTGGCGAATACGTTTTACGGTATTAAAACATTTATGGACAACTGTCATCATGACGTCATTGAAGTTAAATTTCGTCTTTGAAATTAAATTAACTGTCTGCTGTTTAAACGAAAAAGGCCAATTTAAAACACCTAAAATCTCCAAACTATGAGAGAAACGATATTAATGTATCACCACTCATCTTACTTGATACATTTCAATTCAAGCATAACTAACAGTCGTTACACCCAAGCTGCTGAATATCACCCAGAACTTGTCAATTTCATACAGATGCTTGTCAATTTCAAAGTATTGTAAACCGATCCAGTATTTCCACAGCCGGTTGTCCATGAACATCTTGTAGGAACATTGTTGATTTCATCCATTGTACATTCCATGTCACCATGTATGTGATCTGATATATATATCTACTAACACTTTATTTACTAACATACGAAGCGCCGTGCCAACGGCCAAATTCCTTATCCAAACCGTCCAAAACTGTACATAAATGCATATATTCAAATATTTATTGTAGGTATTGGATAATATGTTATCACATGATACAGGGAACAGACAATCAAAATGGAATGGAAGCATCTCCGGAGCAATCTATTTGAGAACAAAAAACCATTTACGTTTAGAAATTCTGTTAAAAAATGTTTTTTAAATTTTATTTTCACATTTATTATTTTAATTTAACCCTAAGGAAAAATGTTAATTGTGGTTGACAGTTTCTCGTATCATGTGACCGAGTCATATGTCCTGTACATAGCTTGTGTATATATGCTTGTAAATATGCTTATAAATTAATATATATTTTTGTACGTTTATTTTTTGTATTATCAGATCTGTAAGTTATTTATACTTTTTGGCTGTATGTGGAAAAGTTCGTCATTGATACTCTCCGCTGTCATATATGCTGTTGACTGTGATATTTGTAAAATATGTATTTTATTAATAAAAGTGTGAATAGAGAGAAAACCTTTTTTGTTGAAATATTTCAAGAAAGATATACAACACTTTATGGAAGGACATAGTTATGATGTGGTGAAGACGATCGTGGGAGAGTTTACAGGGCCCAACGTACCGTGATATAGATTTTTCATAAATCACTGCTTTCACGAACATCCGGTGTCATCGCTGTGCGACGTCACAAACATACCCGAGCGTCGGTTGTATATATTTTGTCTCTTCCGTATTATTTGGAACTATTTCCTTGCGACTGAATGAATGTTATTTCACGCCGTTGACACGCTATGCCAGCAATATGACGTTAGTCTTAAAAAACACAAACCTGGCCAAGGCAAACCAATGACTGATAGTATGAGCGACCACGCAGCACGTGTACCTAGCATGCAATCAACCAAATTACCGCGTCTGACCCCCGATCCATTAAATCGCCCCTCACGTGAGTGAGTGAGTGAGTTGGGGTTAACGCCGCTTTTAACAGTATTCCAGTTACATCACGGCGTGTTAGCTTAATGTGGGAGGAAAGCCTGAAGTGATGCAGGTCTCAGACGTTTACCACTTCGGTGAAACCCACGAGCACGGGTATGGTGCTGACAAACCTAGAAACATAATCGGGGCGGACCGGGATTCGAACCCATAATCATAGGTTTCTGGTGTGCCCAAGGGACGCAACTCTGCACAGCGAATCGCGGCGCAGAAAATTCTATGGTATTATGCCACCTCGAGTAATTTGCATGGCAGTGTCATGGCTGTGGATATAAACAAAACATGGCTTAGCACATATGGGGAATCGAACCTCGATCTACGACGTGACGAACGTCTGAGAGGAATATAAATGACCGCCTTTGGCGTCTTTGAAAGATCGTCGCAGTTTTTGTACCATACAGATTTTACACCTCGAAAACAGTCAAACGCCATCCGAACTGCCATGTGTCCTTTGTAAACATCAACACACATCATTGATCTAATTTTAATCAGGAGCGGTGGGGTAGTCTAGTTGATAAAGTGTTCGCTTGTCACGGCGAAGATCCGGGTTTGATTCCCCATATGGGTACAATGTGTGAAGACCATTTATGGTATCCCCGCCGAGATATTGCTGGATAATTGCGGCGTAAAACCATACTCACTCATTTACTCGATGGAAATTTAGTACAAGAACTCTGTTTCTCCATATGATAGCAAGTACTGAGTCCTATATTGCTTAACATATTTCCTTAAGCCAGGAAGTTTAAATGTTCCATGATTTATACACTTCTGGTGTCCTCCGCCGTGTTATTGCTGGGATATTGCTAAAAGCGGCGTTAAACCATACTCACTCACTCGTTTAAAGCCCCTTTGTTGTACGGCATTATCTTTTTAAAATAGCCGTCGACAGAGCTTTAAATTTATTTTCGTTATAACTAATCTTGCGAGATGATTGGCAGTTATATTGTTCTTAACATTATTGTTTAACGAAAAGCTTCGGCAAGTCTAGATCAAATAAAGCAAGTCTAGTTTCCTTGCTTTTTACAACAGCAGAGGAAGGAGGCTTAAAAATATAGTTATTTAAAAACAATTATCACAGACTAAAGTGTTAGTCTCCGTTATAACATTAGTTTGATTACAGACTATCGGGCAAAGAAAGTATACACTTGAAAATTAGATGTGACCAGAATAATACAAACGTTATCAAAACGTTACTAGGTTCAAAGAAGCAGCCAAACACTTCAAACTTGAGGTCCAAAACACAACAATATTCAAAATCATCACCATCGAAAAACCATTTCCTGTTTGTTTCTTTTTAACCACCATCAAATATAGATATATACTCTCATTTGCCGGGCGGTTTATATCGAAAATCAACACACGCATGCGCAATCTTCAAGCCATAGAAACAAATCTGAAAAACAGGCCTCAAAAACTGGTCATTACTGATGAAATGATAGTGTGTTAATTGCATATCAATGTACATTTCAGTGAAAGGAAGGCTTTGTTGGTTATATCGGGAAACAATCAGAGCAGAGCAATCAGGGACCTAATACTCATTTACTGAATAGAGTTACTGCAGTCAAGGGTATGTAGTATATAGATGTTGTAGATAGCAGCTTTCACTGGCGCCGGTAGTACTTCCCACGCAATGTTCAAACACGTACGTGTCGATTTCATGTGTGTACATTTCACCTTTTCCGAAATGTACAAGATTTGTGCATTTTACTTTTTTAATGAATAATCTGTAGATAATGAAGCACGTGTTTGGTCATGTTTGGTTGGGGTTTGACGGGAGCTTGTGTTAAGGGTATTGTCCTGCTGGGTACGGCGATAAATGTGGATTACAGTGACAGGTCGGTAACTCGAAGTCCGTGGGCCCTCGATTACATATCGACATAAGCGGAATGCTGATGTTAATTCGGCCGGGAGTGAAATTGTCGGCTGGGTGAACAAATGAAATAAACGAAAAGTGCTACTTTTTTCGATGACCTGTTTATGGATGAATTCAACTCCACTGTTGGCCTACCTTGTTGTTTAGTAAACAACCTGATAGTAAACAATACAAGAATATTGAATATTATTTTACATATGTGAAATCTGGTGTCGTGTTCGTAAATGAAAATAATATAACAATACAATATAAAAAAGGACGTCACGACTTTTGATTAAAACATCGCGTCCTGTTCTACCGTGTCTAGCGTATAAAGAATGGATTCAAAAATGTTATTATACCATTCAACTTTTGATAGGAATAATCAGATATGTTAGTTGGTTGGCTGGTTTGTTGTTTAACACCGCACCCAGCAATATTCCAGCTATATGACGGCGGTCTGGAAATAATCAAGTCTGGACAGACAATCCAGTGATTGATATCATGAGCATCGATTCACGCAATTGGGACACGATGACATGCATCAACCAAGCCAGCGAGCCTGACCACCCAATCCCGTTACTCGCCTCTTACGACAAGTATAGTCGCCTTTTACGGCAAGCATGGATTGCTGAAGACCTATTGTACCCCTGATCTTCACGGGTCCAGATATGTAATTGTATTTATATATACACCTGCCATTATGATATTTCTTAGTTGTTTAACGCCGCACTCAGCAATATTCCGGCTATGTGACGGCGGCCTGTAAATATACGAATCTGGACCAGATCATCCAGTGAATGACATCATGAGCATCGATCCACGCAAATGAGATCGATGACAAGTCAGCGAGCCTGACCACCCGATCTTGTTAGTCGCCTCTTACGACAAGCATAGTCACCTTTTACGGCAAGCATGGGTTGCTGAAGACCTATTCTACCCCGTATCTTCTTGGGTCCATGTCATTAGACCGCCTCCGATGTCTAGTGGTAGAGCGTCCGCCCGGAGAGCGGAAGGTCCGGGGTTCGATCCCCGGCCGCGTCATACCAAAAGATGTTAAAAGATGGTACTTGTTGTTACCCTGTCTGGCACTCGGCATTAAGGGGGTAAAACAAGGACTGGTTTGCTCGGAGTCAGTAAACTGTGTCTGAGTGGGGTATTCATGTTAAACTGCGGCATGGTATCTCAGTGGGCTAGCACTATAAATCGGCATCAATCCGGCCTAGTACAAGCAGCCACACACACACACACACGTGCATGCACGTCGCTATATAAGTGCAATAATCTTGGACGCGACGTTAAACCCCATTTCACCTCACCTCACCTCACCTCACCTCACCTCACCCCACCTCACCCACCTCACCTCAATGTCATTATGAGAATCAGTTCTGTGTATCATGGAAAGTTAAACAAATATCCCTATGAAAAGTAGAGTAGTATAATATATGATTAAGAAATTATGTTTCCGTAAGAGTGAGTATGGTTTTACGCCGCTTTTAGCACTATTCCAGCAATATCACGGCGGGGAACACCAGAAATGGGCTTCACACAATGTACCCATGTCGGGAATCGAACCAAGATCTTCGGCGTGACGAGCGAATGCTTTAACCACTAGGCTACCCGACCGCCCCTTTATCCGTAAGAAACATGATTAAATACATTGCAACTACTCATTAGTATTTAATAACATACGTAATAGTTACATTACTTGGACATTAGCTCAAAGAAAAGCAGGCGTTTTTAAAACCTAAAAACAAACATTTGGGGAGGGGGACAAATTGTTTGTCGTAATACCTCAACGAGTATAAGAAACGAAGTGGACGATAATTTGTGAGCATTGTTGGCTTTGACAACCAATACAATTATCACTCGTCCTCTAATCCTTGTGGCTTAACGTCGCCGCGATGAAATATCTGACTGATGAGTGGGCGATAGAGCTAAAGAATCGCTTACAAAAACAGATCAGTGAAAATTGTTTGGCGGAATAGTACACCTGCACCTCGTCACCGTCACGAGGTTGTGCGCCTACGCACCCCCCGGGGAATAACCCCTTTCAACAAAGACCGACCTCTACCAGTCACGAGGGTCAAAATGGTATTTGTGAATTAAATCAGGTCAGAATAATTATCTGTAAGTCAAACTGGGAGTTGGCGAGTCAACAACTGTGGTTAATTGTATTGCCTTAATAACACCAGGTGTCACCTGTAGGAAAAAAATTAAAATGAGTATCGGGTGGTTAAAATGGGTGATGAGTATAAATATATCTGATTGTCAGTCCTTTGTATGTTTGATTATCGTTTGATCATACGTATAATATTAGGAGACCCGTGAAGATCCGGGGTAGAATATGTCTTCAGCAACCCATGCTTGCTGTAAAAGGCGACTATGCTTGTCGTAAGAGGAGACTAATGGGATCGGGTGGTCAGACTCGCTGACTTGGTTGATGCATGTCATCGTATCCCAATTTCGTGGATCGATGCTCATGATGTCAATTACTGGATTGTCTGGTCCAGACTCGATTATTTACAGACCGCCGTCATTTAGCTGGAATATTGCTGAGAGCGCCGTTAAACAAACAAACAAGTATAATATTAGGAGACTTATTAAAACAATCCACTCATCTATTCTTATTTATAGTAAGTTATAGTACTGTAGTTCACTCGCTGGTAGCGTC